TCATATTTCAGCTCAAAATTACAATTCCAAGAAGTTCGGACCGAACTAGTCTTAATTTTTCAGTAATCTTTGGAAATTCGGCAAAATTCACAGGAAGTGAATCAGCCTCTGAAATTTGTAACACAAAAAGAGTCCCATACAAAGTTTCAAATGCAATAAACGGAACTAAATTCGAAATTTTGAGCATCAAGATATAATAGTTTAAAATCGGCTGAATTTTGCAAACTGATCAGTGGGTTTCCATATTTGAAGAGCAATCTTTGGAGCATTATTTGGGCATTGAAATGGTATTAAAATTACACCAAATTTGGTACACTTAAACTTCCATATGTGGACTACTTTTCTATCAAATTTTACACAAAAATCCCACGGGAAGGTAATTAATGAAACAACCAAAGTTTGTGAAACTTTCAAAACAAATCAGCCAACTCGACCTTTCTTTCCTTTCAAAAGTTTTGTACAACGAAATTAGCCCCAACTCGCTCCATTTTTGAAACCAAAGTTCTAAAAACATTTAATGAGCAATTGATGGTTAATTGACAACAAAAGTTTCAAAATATAACATCCCAAAAAAGATTTGACCATTCGGCCAACAAAGAAGGAAAAGTTTCTAGTTTCCAGCTTTGTCATCTTTTCGAAATCAAACAATATCTAGCTCTATACAACTCTAAATTGGTAGTGGTATATGGCGTTGGAAACTAAGTTCCAAATGATACAATTTATAAGGAGACATCATTTTGAAAATCTTTTCATAAATGGGACAAAATCAAGCCACAAAACACAGCTTCCAGTTTCATTCGTATAAACAGTCAAAACAGAACAGCTAATTTTGCCGACTCACTACGGTTCACTCAAAATGAACCAATAGGAGATTTTTATACCGTTGAAAAGCTATAAATGTCTAATTTTGAATGCCATAAACGGCACTCAATTTTGACTTTTGTACAGAGAGTTACGTTCAAACGAAGACACACTATTTGAGTACCCCTGCCATACGAATTCCAGATTTGAATCTTGCCAAAACTCAAGTTTTGTGCAACCAAATGAAACGATTTTTGAAAGGCATTTTGTACACACAATATACAACATATATCACTCAGTTTAGCAGCCAAATAACTAGCAAAAGTTTGAAATGCATCAAGATAACAGCGTAGCAGTTTCAACCAGCTGGGAAAGGAAAATTTCCAGATTCTTGGCCAATCTTTTCATGCAATTTTGAAGCACTAACTGCAAGAGTTTTTGGCTAGAAATTTGTCCATTTAAAACTCAACATATCAGCTCTCAAATGGGCTAAGAAAGTCATGAAAATATGGCATCAAAATAGAGTAACAAAAACTCAAAATTTCTGCCAGCACTTCTTCCTCTCCTCTCGGTTTCTCTCTTTCTTTTTCCTCTTCTAGTTTCTTTCAGTAAAACTCATCACAAACACACAAACATACATATAAACATCATGTCAACCCTCATTTAACCAAGGTGGGAGTTCATATGTCCAACTTCAACTAACCAAATCTAACCAACAACAACAAGAAGGAAGCTACAAGCTTCAAAGCCAAGAAATGAAACAAGAAAGCAAGAGTTGCGGTGGGAGATATTTATACCTTTCAAACCCAAGAAGAAACCCTTGATTTTTTGTGTGAGAAACTCCTTAAAACAGCCCCTAACCAGCCGGCCCTCTCTTCCCTTCAAGGTAGAACAAGAACCCAAGGAATTTGTGAGTTGGATGATGAAGAACAAGCAAGCTTGGAGCTAGAGAATGAAGCTTTCTTTCCTCCTTTTCTTTTCTTCTTGCTTGACTAAGACAATGAGGGAGTGAGGAGGGAGAGATGAGGGTTTTATGATTTAATTGCTTGGAGGGAAGGCATGAAAAAGATAGCTTTAAGTGTGGTGCAAAAAGTCAACCTTCAATAGTGTCGCGCTAGTGTTTCATACCACCAATTTCTCTCGGATTTGATACACTCATGCACTAATCCTCCAAGGTATTTTCTTTAACACTGTAATTATTCACACTTATTAGTCTAGTATTAAATTCTCAAATCTCCAATTAGTCGTACCGGCGCGACTTTCGGGATACTATCGACGCGCATGGGGTAAAAGTTTAATTTAAACTCGCTCATATCTAATTCTTCAATTAACTTTTCTTAGTCTACTATTAATCATCCTTAGTTCTCCAAGACTAATGTAGTCTGGGATCAAATTTACCTCGAAAAACGTGTATTCGCTATTTCTTGTTAAACAAGCCGTAAAAAAATTAAATTTGCTAACTAAACATTTTAAAATTATAAAAGGGATATTTTTGCATACAAATGGACTTGAAACGGATGAAATAAATTATTTGGGGTAAACGGGTGAATAAATAATTAAATAAGCCAGTAAAATAAAATAAAAATAAGAAAAATTTCGGATCCTCACAGATATTCATCTGTTGTATTCCATACAAAAGTTTCCATGAACCTTCTTAGTGGCTCAAGAGAGATGATGACGACAAAACTAGTTTGGGGAAAGGGATTTGTACCAATATTTGCATTTTTTTTCATGGCTGCTATGTAATACAAGGCTTCCTACATTGGACAAATTACAAAAGTGGGGTGTTTCTTTACCATCTAGTTTGTGTGTACTCTATAAAAAAGAGGATGAAAGCATAAACCATCTATTCTTTAATTGTTGTATGACAAGACCAGTATAGACTAAAGTGCAACACATGTGCGTGATATTTCGAGATTCTTACTCTTTGGATGAAAAACTTATCTAGCTTGCAACTCACTGGAAGACCAAATCATTTGTAGACCAGCTGAGGATATTAACTTTGGCTACTACTATTTATCACATTTGGAGATTCAAGAATGAAGTGATCTATCAATCAAGGCCTATTGTGTGTACTAAACTGCTAAAAACCATTAAAGAATCTATGTGTTATGTGGTTAATAGATGGTCCGATTTTCCAAGAACACAACAAAACTAGGAACTTGTAATGGAATGGGAATTGGACTAGAAATGTTTGATAGATTAGTTGTTTTGAATACTATAAATATAGTAGTATGATGAGGAATGAATGCCCATGTGTACAAGTTTAATGTAGTAATCAAATAAAATCCTTATTATTTGCTCAAAAAAAAAATCATCTCTAAGGAAAAAAAATTAGTTCAGATTACTCAAAATTAGACAGAACAAAAGAGGAAAGTAAGGAGGGCAAAGTTATGGGTTACCTTATGTATAGTCAGCTGCAATGGTGGTGGAGTTCTGAAAATTTGTTCTATTTGAAATTCATATGTAAACTACTATTGAGGAAAATCTGGTAAGAACCTGGATAAAAGAAACAAATAGCATGATGATATAAAACAAAGAATAATCAATATATGCAACCAAATCATTAAAAAGGCAAGACAGAGAAAGCAAAAAACCACTTTGCAAATCCTTAAAATATAAAAACAACTTAATGTAGATAGATCCCAAGACCATACAAACCTAAGGTTTATGTATGACCAAATCTAAATCCACAGAGACCTACTAAAAGTAAACACATCAAAAAGAAAGGAAACAAAAAGATATAAGCAAACATCCAAAAATAAAGGAAAAGGAAACTAGAAAAAAAAAGACAACCCAAAAAATCACATAATAATATGATGAGTCCACACACCTAAGTTTTATGTAGATAGAGCAATGGCCAAATCCAAATACACAGAGACCCATTAAAAGCAAATAAAGAAAGAAAACAAAAAGACATAAGCAAACATCCAAAAGAAAAGGAAAAGGAATAGAAAAACCAAAAAAAGCCACGAAAAATCACAAAATAATATAATCACATAATAATGTCACAATATAAGAGAATGAAGAAGATGTAGATACCATAGAAGAGAAGCCACAAACAGAGCCTGCAAATTTCATAGTTGATATTCCTCTACATAAATTGAATCTTAGACATGAGTTTAAGGTGCTCCACAGCCCAATCATCTTGAATAGACTCAATGAAACAGTGAAATTGAAAACCAAGTAAAATGCATGGAAATAAAAAGAAGAAAGATTTCAGCTTAAAGTCCACAATTATCCCACATATAGAAGTCTCAGGTCCATACAATCAATCACACTCGATAAAACTAATAAGAAAAGAAAATTTTGGCCAAGACAATTGCAGAATAGCAGAATTTTCAAACATAAATGAAAACAATATCCACCACATAATAAGTGATCTTGAGAAGGTAAAAGAACATAATAGTGAAGAATATATAGAAGACATCAAAGTTCACTACAACAAAAATGGCCTTTTCTGACATGTCTATAAGGACACTTACTGGTTTATGTCATTATAGCATTTTTTATTATGACACTTATTATCAACTTAATAATATATGCTCTAATTTTTTTTATTTCATCTGATATAAAAATAATAATGTATCTTTAGGCTCTCTATCATAACACTTGTGAAAATGTGAGATACATCAAGAAAAATTAAAACACAAAACGACGTGGTTTAATTTTGACGGAAGATTCTTTGTCAAAACACTTAAGTGAAATCTCAAAACTTCATTTTGCCTCCTCGTGAAATTTTGCTTCTTCTTATCTCTCTCACAAACTCTCTCTCTCTCTCTCTCTCGGCAAACTCTCTCTCAAAACTCTTGGCCAAAATTTTGCTTTCCCCGCAGAATTTTCTTACCAATTTATGCCCTCCGCCTCTCTTGGCCACTCTCCTGTCCTCTGCCTTACTGAATAATACAGAAGCTAGGGGAAGCCCTGGCCGATCTCCCCAACATTTTTAATTTCCAAACTGGTGTCGGACGAAAATTAGGGCTCTGAGTCTGAGAGAGACCTTAGATTTAGGGCGGTATTCGCAGCATCTGCACTTATTCTTTCTTGGATTTCAGTGATCAGCGGCAAATGTCGCCTCCTCCTGGACCCTACTCCGGCACCAGCACTCTCGCCTTGGTAAACCATCCGCTAATTTTTCTCTAATTTCATTTTGTTTACTTTTGTCTGATTTTGAGTTCTTTTTGTGTAATTATTTTGTGTCAGTTGGTGATTTGGGGGTTGAGGGTGGATGTTGGGGGTTGAGGGTTTTGGGAAGGAGAAGGTAAAGAAGGTAGAGGAGGTGATGTGGTTGTGGAAGGGAGTGAAGAGGTGGAGGTGGTGGCGGTGATGGGTGGTGGAAGAGCGGCGGACGATGAGGCGGTAGAAGCTGTGGTTGTTGGCATAAGAGGAGAGGATGATGGTGGTGGTTGCTGCAGAAGTTTTGGTGGTTGAGGAGGGGATGCCGGTGGTGTTGGCATCTGAAAAAAGATTCCAAAGTAGAAGATAGTATTGATGCTGTAAAAGATTCCAAAGTGCACACGACTAAGACAACGTCGGTCCTTAGTGGTAGTTTGTTAATGTTATCCTGATGAGTGACGAGAAGCCATTGGGAGGTCTGCATCTATATTATGTACTCCTAACATCTAGCAGCAGACAAGGTATTTTTCTATTCGTGTCAGCGATAATCTATAGGCTTAAAAGAAGAATTAAAGCCAATATATGAAAGGTTTTCCTACAATGATGATGCATGACAATGACATGATCACGAATTAAATTTGTTATCAAATCGAAGTGGATAAGAAATGTAGGGAAAGAATGTTGCAATTGAGACAATGTTTGACAGAGAAAATGCATTAAAATAAAGAAAGAGATAGGCCTCTGTTATCAAGGCAAGGACTCTTTTGTAGTCTTGTTAAGTGGCTATTTGTACAAGTGTTACTAAGGTATTGGTAGGCTCTTGGATATTTTTCCTTTAGTTATGGAAGGGGTAGTTATCAAAACCTGCTTCGATCATTTTGTGACAGCTTCAATTCAACTGATTGCTGCTATCATTGGAACTCTTTAATTTAATTTATTAGCCAGCCAAAGTCAGGAGTTGGCTAATAAATTGGTTGTAAGTTTAGTTATGTGTTTGGTATGCACAAAAGTCCGCTGCTGAAATCGCAGCAGACGGAGACAGAGACAGAGAGAGAGAGAGGGGATTATACATATACATACATCTTTCTTGCGTATAATGTAAGTTTAATAATACCTAAAGGATGATCAAACCTAAAGCTGAAGGAGTTGTTAGAAACCTCAAAGAGAGATTTCTGAAATTATCTCTAAAATGGAAGATAAACTAACCGTGTTGGATTTGTCAAGAAAGCATGAGAATTGATTTCGACGTCAAATTGTAATATTTGAGCGATATACTCTATTTGTTTTCATATGTTAGTCATGAATTATAATTAATTACTTGCAGTCAGTCCCTTAAATGTTAGATCAGAACCAAAAAAATATGTGATGTTTTCTGATAGGGAAACATTTTGTAATGTGTGATGTTTTCTGCATCAGGTGAGGAAGGTGGATATGCTTGAAGAAGTCACTGTTATCTGGTCTGAGAAGGTTAAGGACGAATTGGTGTTGGATGGCAATGACATTGAGCTTGTTTCCCGATCTGCTGCCCTGATAAACCAAGTAAGAGACACTCTGTGCCATATTTATGATATTTGAATCTGCAAGTTTTGTTCCTTGTCACTTGTCTTTAAAATGTAGTTCATCTGGCTGAATAGCTAATATACAACCTTTTCTTATTGTGGACAGAAATGCCATGTGAAGAACAAAGATATCCGGAAGTTCCTTGATGGTATCTATGTCAGTGAGAAGAGGCAAATAGCCGAGGAGGAGTGAGAGTTAGTGGCCTACATTTCTTGATCATTTTCTTGGATTGATTCCCTTTTATCATATCAAGATGCTTGTGGGGATTTCTTAGAGATGACTTCTATTTTGAACTTAAAATAGAAGTCATGTTTTTTAGAGTATATATGCTTGCTTTTAGTGGTCTACTTTAGTGTTTTCTTATCTGTATTTAGAATGTATCAGCAGTGTTTTCAACCACTTGCTTGACGATAGCCCATTGCCTGCTAACAGGCTTCTTCATCAGTGCTTGTTGCAACCTTTTCTAGTACACACTCACTAAATGGAAAAGGATCTACAGGAGGTGGAAAGCTGAGTCGAAATGGTGAAATAGAGAAGGGGCTGTTGACGCTAATTTCCTCAGATGCTCCTGGACTTCAGGTGTTGTAACCTATATTTGGACTTTTTTTTTTTAATGATCAGTAGGTAGGTTGCAACAATATATACCAATTTCCTGGATTCCTTTTTAACTGCTTATACATTTTTTTTACATTTCAACTAGATCATTTTTGGAATTGTAATGCTTCAACACTTTGTTTTTCTTGATTAATTATGCACCAGTTCTTTCCTATTATTTCCAGGTTTGTGACTCCAATGGCCGCCGGTACCTGGCTGATAGTGGCTTTTTTATTTCTCACAGGCAAGGCTCTTATCCATGCTACAGCTGGTCTGAGGCCTGCGGTTTCACATCGTTCTAGTGGCGGAAGGTAGATATTGGTGCTTAAGTGTAATTTGATAGTTGCCCAAGAATGTCATAGGTTGAAGAAATTTCTCAACTGATCAGTACACTTTGCCCTGCAGGACATCTCTCGTCTTTAGGCTCATGCCACAAGGCAATGCAATACGTGATTGTTCACCAATTGCAGTAGCTGGTCATGTCATTCCTCAGAGTTATGTGCCAATCTCTGTGACCCAATTTATGGATGCTATAATAGTACTTGTTATGTGCCAATCTTTGTAACCCAGTTTATGGGTGCTATAATAGTACTTGTTATGTGCCAATCTCTGTAACCCAATTTCGATTAGCTATGTTAGTACTTGTTACTGACTTTTAGTTCAATAAATGATATTTGAGCATTAGCTTTTGCTTTTGCTTTTAAATTACGACAATATTCTATTCTTTGGGATAATTTTACAAGTCCTTTGGGTATCTGATTGACGGAATGTATAGCAGGAAGCACAATCAGGTTGCTTCTTTATTTAAAAAAAAAAAAAAAAAAACTTCGGGCAGTTATAAGTGTCAGCATAGCTCAACAACTTCGACAATATTCTGATACTTTCCATTGTTAAGAAAATGGATTTTTGTTGACAGATGAGATGCTATAATAGCATAGTTTTCCTAACACCTTGAATAGTATGAACCTATCCCCACATTGGAAGGGACAACACTTGTTCGAGGTGTGAGGAAAAGTAAAGTGTCAGTTTAGATTATCTTTACTGACACTTTTAAATGCCGTTAAAGGTCATTTTTGTTGTAGTGGTTTTTTGCTAAAATAGCACTCTTTCTAAAAAATATTCTCAATATGATTCACTTTCAAATTTTATTCCTATAATGATGTTATTATTGCCACCTTATTATCCTGATTGACATGTAGGATAACAAGAAAGGAAAGTTTTGATCTAGTTTATAGTTTCCAACATAAGTTAAAATTTTTAATTTTTTTTTAATCATAGAGACACAATAAGATAGCATCACTTTGATAGTTTTCTTATAATTATTTAAAACAAATTCTACCATTATTGACCTTACTATGATTGGTCTCTACACTTTTCTTGAAATGAATCAAACCTATTGCATATATTTTTTTCAAAAATTAAATTTCAAAAATTCAAAAATTGCAACAAAAATTGTAAGTAATAACAAGAAAAAGTTACAAAAACTTTAAGGTTATCATATTTGTTTATACTATCCTTCTTACTCTTTGAAAAAAAACTTTTACAAGATGTAATAAAACTAAAATTTTCAAGTTTTCAATTGCAAACTAAAAACTGCTAGATTATTTTCTCCTAGACCTTTTATCAAACATACGGTGTGAGAAATCATTTGTTAGACAATTAATATTCAAAAAAATTTTGAACGCTATAGCAATGTTCCAAAAATTGCACAATAGAAAAGATAAGAGAATAATCTTTGTTTACCTTGATATTATCAAGGATGATAATGAATTTTTATATACTATTAATATAAATATTGACTTCTCAAAATTACATTTGACAAGGAAAAGGCAATGAAAGGAAAAAACACAGGAGAGAGAGAATCAGAAAAAATATTAGATGGAAAAAAGAAATAGAGTGTGCCTCTATCTCTGTCCTGACACATGTGCAACCTATGTAGGAAAAAAAATTATAAAGATAATAAATTTTAAAATTTGGTTACTTTGGGTATATGTTTTAGAAGGAGAGTTATTTTGGCAATAAACTTGAAGACATCATACCAAGAGTTTTCAATGAATATAATCATAGTTACTTGCCTACCACTTGTACATTATGTTATGGACGGACCAAATTCTACTTACTATATTTTAACAAGAATTCAAATTTATGCACTACAAATATCCGAAATTTTGAAAGTATTAGCAACAAGAAGAAATTTGTTGCCAAATATTTCATAGCATAGCTCTTGTTGCTAGAGAAATTTGTTACACATATTACAGCCCAAAAATAAAAACTAAAGTACATAGAGAATAGGGCAAAAAACTTGGGCGGCCATTAAACTTTTCTCGGAATCATGTTTTGGCCATCGAATTATTTTTTGTCAATAATTGACCACTAAACTATTTAATCAGTAAATTCGTGCCCATTTTGTCGGTAATGGCTCTTAATTTCTGAAATTAGCATTCTACGTGGCAAATCACAGGGGCAATTTTGTCCATCAATCCACTGACCGTTTACTTACATTAATGGCATCAACTGAAAAGAAAAAAAGTGATGGAAGCCAACTGAAGTGTCTGGTCTTGTGAAGGATAATTTTTTGGAGGTGGCTCATTAGAAACGTTGACTGTTGTGCGAATTGTTATCGTCCCTCTTTTCTTTTCTTTTTTCTCTTTTTTTGGGTGGTTCTCTTTATGGGGTTTGTTGGGACGAGTTTGATTCGTGATTCTGTGAGCATAAATGGAATGGAACTGTGAGTATTCTCCAATTCATCCGGCAACTCACCTGGGGGCCCATTTTCCTCCTCACTGTGATATGGATATCGAGCACAATGGTAGCCATGTCCCCACCACATTTGGTCTCTATTCTTGCTTCTTTTTCCTTTTCCTTTGACAACTCTTGCGTCTTTCAATCTTCTTTCCGTTAGTACTATCTGATCTTTGCACCCTGAGCAATGGAACACCCGATAGCCCACCACTCCTACAATTTTCAGACGGAAAATTTGAGGAACCTCTCCATCACCGAATTAGCCCGCTTGAATTGGTTGAGGTAAACCAAAAAGGAAGAGGGAATTAGGGTTAGGGTTTAGAACTTTAGATGGAAGGAAAAAAGAGGAAGAGAAGGACGGCGTAAGTCAAGGGCTAAAATCTTCTGCGCGTGTCTCTAGAGTGGATTTTTACTTTGACCGTGCCGGCAAGTCAATTCACCCATATCTATGCATTGAAAAGTTTGGACCACTCGTTGTTTTGCCCTTGACGGCTTCATCAATATCATCCGGCGATCGGACGATTTCTGACACAGAATTTAGGGCTGGAAATTGAGTCCTTATTTTTTCCTCCCAAGACCAGGCACTTC